TGTTAAAGTTATTATAGTAGTCAGTATAGTCCTTCGATCGCTTTGATGGCAGCGCCCCACGGGCATCCACCATGTGAGTTGTCCGCTAAACAGCTTACTGTAGCAGGCTATCCGATTAGCAACAGATTAGCGTCATGATCGTCAGTGATTGCGGCGCTAAATGCTAGCTGCATTCATCAAGTGATAAAGATGATGATTCTTTTTATTCTAACATCGGAAAAGACAAACAGCGTAGAACAACAGAGAACAGTGAGTGCATTTTTTAATTAATGCAAATTCAGAGCGTTTGTCACGGATTTAAATGACTTTTCCGAGAAAATCAGTCAAAATGTTCCACCCAGTGTCTTATCTCCTTTATCACATTTTTTACTAATAGCGAAATAAATTTAAAACTTGCCTTTGCCGGTTCGATAAGGGTAAGTATATGGAATAATGTTTATTTTGAGTGAAGTTGCTTTAAAATGGTTTTACTCCATTCTGGGAAATCAACGCTTCATAAAGAACAGGTTGAGTTTGGGCAGAGGAGTGCGGTTTTGATAGTATAATCGAGTACAGGTAAAAAGGCTGTGGAACGCGATGTAAGAATCCGCGGTTTGTATCGTTGGAACAGATGAACAGTCTTAAGCTGTCGTGAGAGAGTATCATGAAGCCGTGCTATCTCATGCTATTACTTCCATAGAATGGAAAAGGCAAGTTTGTAACCGTCGTAATGTCGGTCGGTCGGTCTTCCTTGCACTTTCATGTTGCGGCCATTTTTGACGAACTTCTTTGCACAAATTAGGCTGGATCGCTGATTTCCATTTACCTGCCATCAGCCAGCTTCTTGTTTTAAATGCAGAGTCGACAGTAGTTGTCCTGTTGTTTCCTTCCCACATAGTGATACTCATTTATCGAACTTTGACCCGATTAGAGCTCGAATCTGGGTCCTCTCGGTTCTGAGTCCATCGTTGATCCGATTAAGCAACTCCGTTCACTGTTAGCGGCAAACAATGCTTATAGATAAAAATTGATGAAATAAAGTTGTCGATATATGGAATATGAATAAAGTTGCGAATATGTAGAAGGAGTCTTTTCCAGACCGTGCTGCAGTTGTCCTCTGCCGAAGCTCAGACTCTGGCACAAGATCGGGAGCGTTGGACGCGCTGTCTGAGGCGTCTACCTGCGCGACCCGAAACGAGAAACGGACATGGAATATGAATGAATGAATGAAAACTGTTGATCATGGGAAGCAGTAGTATCGGAACGAATCCTCTAAGATGAATCCGCCAAGGCAAGAGCAAGTCTGTTCCATCACCTTTTCATGAATCACATTGACGCATCAGCGCAGATTGTAGTAACTGTAATTCTGTAGTAGAGTAACTATAGTTCTGCATTAGAGTGGTGAATTGTGTCGGCGCGTTTTTACCGCCACACGCTACTTAATCATCCCATAAGCCATTTTTTGAACTCATCCTGTACCAGTAAAGGTTCTTTATCCACAAAGAAGCAGCTACATCAAGTTTGGTCTATAGCAAGTGGGGCTCATCCCTTAACAAACGATGTTTTCGATGATGAGTTACGGTTTGGCGCTCTCCGATTCTCCATTAATCCTCATAAACATCGAATATGCAGTTCCTGGATCTGGTTAGGTTAATATGAAAGTTGGATAACGTTGAGAGTCAATGTCCAAGTTCAGACTCCATATTGAAGTCAGTCATTTTCGATGTCCGTTTATCGTTCCGAATCCTGGAGGCAGACGCGGCAGGCAGTGACTCGACCGTTCCCGATTCTGTGCCAGTGTCTGCGCTTTGGCAGATGATAATCTGAGTCTGGTGGAAATTCATTCGACACCCTCGCTCCACCTCATTCCTCTCTGTCCTCGCAACTTCAGCCGGTAGATGGGGTAAGTAGTTACTTTTCACTTTTCTTTCTGAAGGCAACCATCTCTGCAATGACTTGCCAATCTACATTATTATTATCTGAAGTCACTATTTT